TCACAGACTGATCTGGTAATCAAATAATCACACAATTGCCCTTTTTCGCAGCCTCTTTCAATGTAACCATGCATTATAAAGTAAAGATACATGCATGGCATACCATGTTGTACAGCTTTGGACATTCTGTGATTATTTGCATTATTTTTGTAAAGAGATAATTAAAAAGAATATTAAAAAGCAAGTTAGCCTCAGATTAGATGCAGCAGAAAAAAAGTCCTGAACTGTGAAATGTCCTAAACTGGGTTATCATAAATGACCTCTATCCACACTGCTGGTATTTACAGTATAACTGGGCTCAGACCAGCAGGACAACTTAGCAGGCCTGCATAACTTTTCTCATATTAAAGAGGCTGTTCCTGTGTTGCGGAAAGCTTATACTCTACTTTGTAATCCGCAGCTTACCTCTATTTCCTAAAAGATAACTGCAATGATGAATGAACTGCTGACTGTCCTCTGAATGGGGTTTGGTTTATGCTCTGAATGTCTCATGTACATTTAGACTGTCCTTTGCTAAGAACAAGAATAGAGACGGAATTTACATGAACCTGCCCGAGTTCTCAAACCACAAAGTCAGATTTCCTTTTTTGCAAAGCATTCTTTAAGCCCCACGCTACGTGGTGCTGAAGAATAGGATTACAGAAAGAGGATTTACCTGAAGTAATACAGCACCTCTAATCAGGCTGAGGTCTAGGTTAATCTGTCTTTAAAGCATCAGTGTTCTGCCACATAGTGGAATCTTTTGTGTATTACACTAAAACTCTTGACTAAAGGCACCACAAAATCTAGGTTATTTACAACATGTATGTCAATGTAACTGAAAAGATGAAAAACAACAGTTTTCAAGCAAAGTACGCACCATGCCTTGCAAAATTATTCACACCCTTCCTATGGTGTCCCATTGTGTGAACTTGCAAAATGATCCATGCACATGATTCAATGTAATATTTTATTCAAAGCCTTAAGGCGCAAACTAAAGTCTTCTAGGGGTAAGAAAGGTTACACAGCAAATGTCAGCAAAAACTACAGAGAAAAAAATAAATATTTTGCTTGGATATTTTTCAGACCCGTGAAATCTATTTGGTGGAAGCAACTTTACTAGTACTAGTAATTATTACTTGATTATTATTATTATTATTATTATTATTATTATTATTAATAATAATAATAATAATAATAATTTATTACTAGTACTATTAATAAAGTCTGTTTGGGTATGTTTCTATCATCTTTGCTCACTGGCTTTGGTCAAAGATAAAGCCCCATCTATTTTGCCATCAGTCCTGTCAAACTTGACAGTCTTTGCTGATGGGGAGCAGAACTGTAACATGATGCTGCCAGTACTAGACTTGACAGTAGGGATAGTGCTGACTGAGTGATGCACTCAGTCAGTTGTAATTCTTAGTATTTTGACCAAAAATTAATTTTGTCTTGTCTGACCACAAAACAGTTTTCTAAAAAATGTGCAGCTCTACTGACGTGCTGCAAACCTCATGTGGATTCTGAGATTTTCTTTCTCAGTTCCAAACATGTCCCTTTCGTGGATTGACCAGGATATTGTTGACTGACATCTTCTCCCATCTCAGCCACTGTAACACTCTGTAACGCTTTCAAAGTCACCACTGGCTTCACAGAGACCTCCCTAACCATTTCCCCTCTGCCCAGCTGCTCAGTGTGCAGGGACAGCCTGCTCAAGAGATTGTCTGGGCGACGTCACCTTCTCAGTTACTGGCTTTACCTTGAATAGGTTTTATAATCTGCTACCGATCTGTGCATTTCTATAACTTCATCCTTGAGATGATTTGAAATCTTTGTGGTTTAATCGTTGCTTCAAATTCACTATCTGACTGAAGGACTTTACAGACACAGGTGGATTTATTCTGAAACCATGTGAACCACTATTATTTCACATAGACAGACATCACTCAACTGATTGTGTGGCTCGTTAAGGCAATTTTAGGTTTGCTACATGAAAGGCTTGAATGCTTAAGCTTTCAATTTTTCTTTCATTAGTTACTTCGTTGTGTTTTTTTCTTATTTCAATGTGTGGTGGTGTGTATAACACATACAAATTACACATGGAGAAGGCTCCACAGCCGAAACGTTGGTTCTTTCTCTTTTCAGCATGGAACTAGTTCAAATCCAAATTACTATTTCAAACTGTCAAGTTTTAAGAACTGTGCAAGAGTCTGAATACTTTAATATGGCACTGTATATCAATTCCAGTATCGGGAAATAGCCAGAGCTCTTTATAGATGTGAACAGGGCTCCTGCTCTTAGGTAGTGACAGAAGTGATCTCTGAAATCAAGGAGAGCTGAACATGTTGCATACTGTATGCGTAGATGATAAATATGAAGTATACTACCTAGAAATCATTTAATATCTAACAATGACATGCACCAGTATTGAGGCAACAGCTTAAAATCAGGGCACCTACTTCTTTCACAAACCACTGGCAAAATGCTGGACTGATCCACTCCCTGGCATGAACGCCACAGTCAATCCACACAGCTTTCTTGTCACGGCGAGTTCTCTTTCCTAGCTGACAGAAGCAAGGATCCCGGTTAGTTAGGAGCAGGCCGCGTTCTATACACAGCGCAACACTTCTAATTGGTAACTCTCACCTGAAGGACATAAAGAGGCCTTCCTTCGAAAGACCGGCCAATGGAGAACAGAGTGACGAAGTGCGGATGTGTTCTGTTCATTTCATGCATCCAGCTCTGAATCTGCAAAAGAAAGAGACAAATACTGCCTGTGATGGCGAAACAGTGACTTTCTTCTTTAAGCTCAGGATGGCCAACCTCACACACATCATTTATGACAAGCGTCATGCGGTGGTTCTGAAGATCTCCATTTTTACAAGAGTGATCTGGATGCACTATAAGAACTACCGCTTCTATCCATTCTATTGAAGGAGAACACAAACAATAAGTGTTTTTAAGTGTTTTTAGCCAGTGGCTGCAGTATATCATTGCGCAACTCAGAACTGGGAACCTACTGAAGCAAAGCAGGTGTGAGCCTGGGCAGTACCTAGAAAGCTTAAGTTGCTGCTGGAAGTGGTGTTAGTATGGCCTGTGGGGGGCGCTCACCCTGCAGTCTGTGTGTATTTTAATGTCCCAGTATAGTGATGGGGACACTATACTGTAAAAAGCCGCATGAGATGTAAAACCAAGGTCTGGACTGTCTGTAGTCAAGAAAAATCCCAGCGCCTTTCTCAAAATGAGTAGGGGTGTGACCCTAGCATCTTGGCCAAATTTCCCTCTGGGCTTTACTGATCATGGCCTCCTAATAATCCCCATCTCTGAACTGGCTTTATCACTCTGCTCTCCTCCTCACTGAGAGCTGGTTTGTGGTGAGTGTACTGGCACACTATGGCTGCTGTTGCATCTTCTAGGTGGTGGTGGAGGAGAGTCCCCATTACCTGTAAAGTGCTTAAATAAGTGTAAGGATTATTAATTTCTTGATAAGAGTCTCTTCACTGCTGAAGATCATACTAACAGAACATTACTAGTACAGTATCACTAGAGGGCACCAGAACCTTGTTATAAAATAAGTGTGTACAATTTTAAAATATACCCATGATGAACAACTAATTATATTTGGCATTACATCTTATACTGCTAAAAGGTAACTGCAAGTAGTTTTTAAAGTAACGTCTACACTAAGATGTTATATCAACTCTGATCAAATAAATACTCCATTCAATGGTAATGCCAGAGTTCTGCTCTCAGAAGGGGAAGCTTTAGGTATGTCCTTCTGAAGCTTTGCCAAAAAACTTTCTCCTTGGATCCAATTTTGATCAGAGGAATGTGAATAAATATAGTGCCATATCAGTTCTTCATTCAGGATGTCAAATACACCTACAAACATCAAAGAAGCAATAAGTATGTTGAGAAGGTTTTTGGCAGTGTATACATTCCATGACACAGAAATGGTTAATAGTACCAGCACTACTTTTTGTAAACACAATAAGTTGGGCAACAACCTTCCATTTGAGGGTGCTTTTGTTAAAGATTTACAATGCAATGGTGCTTAAATAAGATTTGGAAATGGCAAAGTTTAATCACTCAGCATAATTTGTTATGGCACATTTTATATTAATAACTCCACTACCATAACAAATCACTTCACACATCCTATTGGTCTCCATGGGTTTTGATTATAATGTTGTGATGTGTCTGTTGGCACTGAAGCAATATTGTTTTCACATGAACTTTCCTCCACTCCAGACTCTTCCACTGTCAGAAGACCCATTATGTCTGTTCCACATGCAATATTTACGATAATTTAAAGGTGTCTTAAAATGTGTTCGCTCGTACAGCAGTATATAGTATTTGTAAATTCCAGTCTGTAAATCACTCTTAAGTTATAAATGAAAGCAGTAACATTTTGTCTTGCCAGAACAGGTACTAGAGTTATTATTTCCATGCACAAATTGTTTCCTCAGGGCATTTACTGTATTTTGATTATACTGGGCATAAAAGAACAATGTTTTTATTAGGTCTTTGTTTGTGAGATACATACAGTATGTAACTATATTTGCATTATAATTGGAATCACAGTTGTGCTGAGAAATTGGTCCCTTTTCAATTCTACAGCTGTTATGTGGTATTGCCTCATGCTGGTGGCTTACAGATATGAGCTTTTAGTTTGAACAGTCGGCAGATAAAGGCATCTGCTGATGTACATACCTCTTCTAAAGAGTGGTACGCCTCATAATCATACCCCATTTCTGATCTTCGTTTTCTGGAGGAACGATACCCAGTCTGTTTTTCAATTTCCTTCTGGAGGTTTGCGATAAGAACCCTATACAAGACATGAGACACACTTAGCACTAAAAGCAAAGACTTTAAGGGGACATTTTGCCTTATCATCGCCCGCTCAGTCTTCTCCTTTCAAATTAAGGTCAGGTTAGAGTTCTGCTCGCTAGGCAGGCCATCCTTTACTAAACTGAAATCTCTCATCCAAAACATCTCAGAAAGCCCTGTCCAAAACAGTGCCCACACTTCCACACAACATGAGGAGCAGCTGGGGCTGTCTCTAGCTTACCTGGGCCTGGAGAGCACAGGTGATGTATTATCTTAGAGCACAGAAATTAAGATATAAACCAAAGATAGCTATTGCTTTATCATGTTTGGCAATAGAACTTCTTTTACTCTGAACAGGTCACTTATCCACTTTGGTCTGCCTTTCAGGCTGAAATGCCTCAAATGGAACTTATTGTATTATCGATTTTAAATTACACTTTAGATACCATTTTGTTGTTTCATATATGTGACTTGATTTTAACTGATAAGATGAAGTAACTGAAGTGAAAACACAACAAACAGATAACACAGATACTGTATTGTATTTTGGGACAATTTGCAACAAAAATAAGTTATGTTCTAGCCCCCATTAAAATAGAAAAGACTTGTTTTGCAAAGAACTGAGTAAGTAAAAAAAGAACTATAATATAGCCCTTGTGTCTTGTCTTGTGTGTTGTTACTTCCAGATATCTCACATTGATGTACACTGTAATTAATTCAAAGGGTTAATATGGAAATGTTGTTAACACCTCAGATTAGGGGTTGCAAATTCCATTTATAAAAGTAATGACTAACAAAAGAGATCATAATCAACCAGTGCTGTATACTAATTGCATGTTAGTGAGAAAATCATCATCTTTACCACAGCCTGAACTGTATCCCTGACCCTTATATTTCTTATTAATCAGCTGTATTGTTTCTAAAAGTGGCCACACACTATTGGCCTGTAATTTTCACAGGGCCTGTTGATCATCCCTGTTGATAAAAAATGTTAATCATCAAAATCAATTTACCTTTGTTTCACTAAATGTCAGTGCATTGACTTTAATGTTTTTGCCATCTTCCTGATTGCAACTGCAAATCTGTTGCAGTTACAAGTAAAAAGTTTCTTATGTTCTCTATACTTATACTGTATATACGCTTACATATTATATATACTGTATATACACAGATGGCTTTTTTTATAAAGTGTAACTTTGCAACCCTAAGTGTGACTGAAACAGTTATGTACAGTAAGTCACAGAAACAGGAAAGACAAGTTAAGGATATTGGAAATCAGGCAAGGCAATGTTAGACTTCATTGTCATACAGATCCAGATGGAAAACATGCAACAACTTTTTAAAAAATTTCTGCCAAGGTGCAAAGTTCATGAAATCATACAGACGCCAAAGCTCTATTTCTATGTCATTCATCTGCCTTTTTTTAAAACAGAGGGCTGACTTGCACAGTATGTTAGCATCAACAGCCATGAATAATTATGTAGAATAATAAAAAAGTAATTTACAACTGCTGATGCAACCGTAAGATTGCCGGAGGGTGAAAACAGCTAATCTCAGCCTCTCTTGCTGCTGTTTTGTTTTTAATACACACCAAAGTTTCTTTCTGTTGTCTGTTAAGCATTTGCAGGATTTATGGAGTGGAGCATGAAAGAATGTTATTAAAATAACACACACAGGCTCTGTATGTGTTAATCACATCTGCACGGGTAGAACAGACACTTCTCCAAAAAAAACAGGCCTTGGAAAACAGATGTGCTCCTTCCCTGCTATTTCAGATATGTGGGGTTAATTAGGAAACACCTCCAATAAAAAAGAAACTCCAGAGTAAAACTTACTCATAGTGAAGGTTGGCCCTCCTAAGGTAGGTCTTGAAGGCACTGGAGATGTTCCTCCCTGTGTGAATATCCACAGTGCTGCCCTCTCCGATGAAAGACGCACTGTTGGGCTGCCAGAGGTCCACCTGTAGTGCAGGAACCAGCCTGTAATCCATATGCATGTCTCAACATGAGAGACTCCTATACTTCATATACAGGCCCTGAAGAATGGGCTTGACAAAAATATAGTAATACCAATAATCATCTGTTCTATTTTCATTTCCATTGGGTTTCACTGTCTTACATAACAAATATATTCTAATAATAGTAACATGAATAAGATGGTTTTCTGGGGGCTTGCAAGTGGCTTGTTCAGCAAAGGCACCTGCTTGAAGAAGAGACTAAGCTCTGTGGCCTGAGACCAGGTCATGTCACGGCACACAGATAGGCCCCACACTGGCTGGGGCAAGGCTGGAAGTAATCAGCCAGGCCTTTTCAGCTTTCCAGTAAACAGCGCCTCCTGCAACATGCAACAGCAGGCTTGCAGTGACGCTCCTCCGATCAGCGCTGGAATGTCAGATGAGCAGGGGAGCCAAGCCTCAGAACAATTATCTGGTGGGCATATACAGTAATTTAAAAAAATCCAAATTTTTAAACAAGAACCTACTGGTATCCTATATATGGTATGGCTTCCACGTGACCTTCTGTGCACCAGAACTTGAATGCTATAAATCCTGTCACAATACAGAAAACAAAACTAAAAATAAATTCTGCTGGGTAATTCAGATCTGTCTTGTTCATCCATCCATTTTCTATCTGCTTACAGGGTTCACAGGCTCAGTCTGGTACAAATCACAGAAAATTGAAGTTCTGTTATGAGACAAACTTTCAGCAATTGTGCTCATGTGCAAAGACACAGAGTCTGGTGTAAAGGTTCAAAACTCTTCTACACTTTTTGTGTGTCACGAGGGCAAAACAAACCTACAGTACACTGTCTCTCGCACTCCAAAGCTCTTGTGTGGGAGGAACTTACAAATCTGAGGGTCTTAAAAAAGATGCAGCGGGCACTCAGCCAGGGCAGCCCTGAGTCCCATCTCAGTGTCCAGTGTTTGGCTGCTCTGTTTCTTCTTGAGCCTTGTGCTACACATGGCAGCCAGTTCCCCCCTCCATGCTAGTCTGCTGGATTGCTGGGGTTTCCACCTTGCGCCTTGTGATTTCCAGCCCCTTCTGCTTCTTTAAGAATCGTTTGCCTCCATGTACTGCGAGCGCCGTCACGCTCTCTCCGAGGGCTCGACACACCGTGAGTTCGCTCTCCGTTCTAATTATATGGCCTGACCATGTCAGGCCACTCTTCTGGAGGGAGCTGCTCACCTGTGGTTGCAGAAACGACAGCGGTCCTAAGGCTAAATGGGAGTCTGGTGCGCAGAGGGTGGAAGCTTGTGTTGGGCGTGGAGGAGGGGGTGAGAGTTGAGGGCCATCACTGCGCCAGACTGGAAGGTGGTAATATGGCTGGGTGCCTGTTGCTGGCAAAGGTGAGAACAAGGACAGCAGACTGACTCCCTGACCGAGTGAGCTTCAGTAGCTGAGGGGGCTCCTACTGGGGGAACCTTAAAGCACAAAACAATGAAAACAGACTGGTGCCTTGGGGGTGCTGGGTTGGACACTCAACCAGAAATAACCAGAGAATGGTGGAGAGTTCAACAAGGAGGGAAAAGGGGAGGTGGGGGGGGCACAGGACAAGTAGCTGCTTCCCATGTGGGTCTGGAGGAACAAAGACAAGGTCTAGCTTGCCTTTATCTGATGAGACCAAAAGGCAGAATGGCAGAAAAGGTGCACAGAGGCTGCTTAGTAGACAAAATATGTACACATAAAACAGAATAAGTACAAGACTACATTTTGACCTCCTCCCCAACTTCTTTTTAATGACTCCATTAGTTCTGCCCTGGTTGAAGCTGCTTACGTCAATAGCCAATCGACTGCAAGGTTGAAGAGGTGAGGTAAAATAAGCACATTCATGCTTTATAACTGTTTGGACAGCAAACCAGCATGTGAGACCTTGTTCGTTTAACAGCAATTGTGGTTTTCATATAGATTTTGAATGACTCTAAGATGCATCTGAGGAATGCCATACACAGTGATAATCTTCCACCAGCGATGCCTGGCTAATCAGTTGAAGGCCTTTCTGAAGTTAATGATACAGTAGGTGTTCAGTGCTTTTTCCAGTGTGCTGCATGTGAGGCCAGGATAAAGATCTGGTCAGCTTCCTAGTTCTAACAGAAAGTATGAAATGTTACAAATGAGAGGAGGCCATTTGCCCTACAGTATATAGCTTCTTTGGTAGTTAGGAGCTAGCTGATCAAAGGAATTTCTTGAAAGACACCAGGACTGTGGCCTCAATAACATGGGTGTGATGCTTTTTCCATACTCTCACAATACTTTGTGTAAATAAAAATACTTTGGCTTCTTTTCACCTCTAGTTGAAGTTCAAAGGCATCTGATTCTGCCTCATGCTTAAAAGGTGCATTGAGTACATGCATAATATGTAATAGTCTTACATTTGTAGGCAGTTATGCATAAATGAGCTGATATTCACAATGTTCACATGAAGAAAAACACATACTAGAAATCAATAAAAAAAACAAAGGAGGAAGCACATGTTGATATTGGTAGGCATTCACAATAACTGAAGATCCAGTTTTCCCAGTGCTATATTTTGGAACAGCCCACTTGAAAGTCCAATTACTATGCTACACAGCCACAAGAACAGAGAGCTGATGTCAGCTCCCATTGTGGTGAGACTAGAGATAGCTGAAATGATCAGTTTTCATTAATTTCAGAGTAATGTGCAATGATTTTGGACGTTGAAAGTGAGCTTTATAAATAAATCCACATGATTTAACTTTTAGCTACAATAGTTTTCACTGTTTTAATAATTGGATACATTATTATGTATTGGATACATTAAAGTAAATTGTAATTTTGTCTCTATAATGTATTGGTTAAACCTTTTTAATTAAATGTCAGGGAGAACAGACGTACACCTAATAATTTATCTCCAGTTAGTCACAGTGGCATGGAATCAAGGCCTTTGATAGTGGCATCTGTTTGTAGTTTTTTTTAAATCTCTATTTTTTCTTACAGTAACATAACTGACTCTGTTACTGTATTGTACTCCAGTGAAAAAGTTCAAAATGTTTCTTTCAACGAATGCTTTGCCAGCATAGACTAAGTCTTCTCACCAAGAGGTAAATTCAACACACATAGTAAGATACCAAGTTCCTGGACTTCTAGAAATCATACCAACCATAGTCATCCCAATATATTTACTTGCAAGAACCAAGGACTAAGTGCTATTGGAATCCACAAAGCAAGTTGCTTTTGCCATCACTTACTCTGTCCCTCAGACACTAGTGTCAACGTGAAACTATATTACAGTGTGGTCTGTGGGTTAGGATCCACAGCTGAGAAAGGACATCAGCCCTGTTGTTGGCAAAACGTCTTTTCCCAGGGACTCAAAATTGAACTCAGGTTTGGCTCCCTAACGTATGAATTCCTCATTTGCAAAAGCTGATCTAAATTCTAGTTCTTTCAACTGCAGGAAAAACTACTTTTGTAGCTACGTATGCAGAATGGACTGAATTCATGCTGTGGTACAGTATACCCAGGGGATTGTCGACAGTAACAGGATCTTTAAACAGGCGGGTCTCAGGAAAAACCCACATGTAACCATAACACAAAAAATAGTTGTCTTATTTACAGTGCAAGGAAATCAAAAACCACAAAACCTTAGCTATTCTTTGAGATTATTACTGTATGCATTTATTAATGCCCTCTATAAACAATATGGTTAGCTATGCTGCTTACCGACAAAGTCTCTCCAATGACAAAAGTTGCTCTCCAAAGCTCTTCTCAAACTCACAGTAATTCAAAAACACCATAAAACCCAGACATTACACAGTAGGTCAGACATACAGACAGACAAACTGTGTTCTCTCCCTTTGGTGCAGGCACATAACAGAAGATCTGCTCTCTTCCTCAGACAACAGATGTTGACCAACGCTGGGAAGCCTTTGCTTCCTGGATTTGCATCCAGTTGTCTTCCTCAGTTGGTCAGGTGACATTGATGCCAGTGATAGTTATTCCTCATTGCTCTTTAATGAATGTGATTCAGACAAGATCCTCAGCCTTGAATCCAACAACCACCTTCTTAAAATACAAAATGGGCTCTGCTCAGTTAACAAAAGTAAAGGTAGTTTTGGAGAAATTCATTCAGAAGTTTTCATTAGCAATTCATGTAGTGTAATATTTTTATCAATTTGATTAATATAAAAACAGCCAGTATTATTACAATAAACCACATTAATCCTGCATTCCTGCAAGTCCTAGTAACTGAATGAGTAATCCAAAATTGATCCCAAATGTCAAGACAAAGACCTACAGTATATCTTCGTGAACACAATATTCAGGTTTCGTTGAAGTTACAACATTCTCCAAAAAACAGGGAAAAAACGTTCCATAGGTTTCCATGGTCAGCATTTGGAAAAGTGCAAGCTTTTTCATCCTCTGGACTTAATCAAGTGCAGATACAGTTGATGTTAATACACAAAGGATACAAAATCAAACCTGTTTTACGAGGTATACGTGCTTAAGATTCTTGTAACTTCATACAGCAGCTGAGGTTACATCAGAAAGTTGGGCTGCCTATTATGGATTGTACTTAATTTAAGGGAACAAATATATTAATATATTAATTTATTCCATGCTGGTTAATTTCACACTGAAAAGAAAACAAAATGAATAAAACACAATGTTCCACATGTGTAGCCTTCCTCAGATTGGAGAATATATTTAATATGAATTAATGAAGAACCAGGCTTTTGCTATAAGTGGATATTAGTACAAGTTTCACATTAGCCACACACTGTATTATAGCATGAAACACCATGAAAACACTTGTACTGTATGTAGGGTTTTGGCTCATTAACAGCTAGGTCTCAGAAAAAAAAATGGTAAAAAACTGGTTGTGAATGTTTTTTGTCATCTTATTAATAAAACATCATACTTTAACAAGATACAACAAAAAACATCACGTCAAGTATTGTTAGCTGTTTTAAGGCATTATAGTTTAAAGACGTGAGACAGGCTT